TCTTTATATTATCGAGCACCGGTACAACATCCAAACAACAATCCAATAACAATCCAATAGTTCTCAAACAAAGGCGGACACGTGGCTATAAAACGCCACATATAGGACCCCTTGTCGATCTCTTTAGATTTCCCCATCCACTTAGATTCGCGACAAAGCAAATCAAACATTCTAACGAGTCCCCTAATAAGCTAAACCAATCAAGTCTAGTCTAGTCACTCTAGTCTCAAGTCAAAGTAAGTCATCCTAATTTCTCTAACCATGGACAACATTATGAATCGACCCGAACGACTCAGCGAAGCAAACCAAGAAAAAGGCTTGGGAGAAATTCTAACACCATCAGAATACCTCAATCGCGGAATCAAAGTGATCCGCGCCATCGAGGACGCCATCCACACCACCCCTCGTCAAGACACTCCATTTCCCGATTGGAACATCCGCTATTTCAACCCCGACGGACGCCATGGTCAAGACAGTATCGAAAGACTCTGTTTCGGCGCCATGCGCAACATCCTCACCGACCCAAAGCATCCTATCGACTTCGAAGGCTATCACTGGTCTGAATTCAACTTCCATTCGAAAGGATACACCAACAGAGGGTTTGACGCAGTTTGGCCCGGATTCAATTGTGTCTGCAACTTGTGGGTATCTGCGAAGGTGGGTACAGTCATTGTGCAAACGTCAGCTACGGCGACTGATCTTGACATTCCCGGACTAGATACACCACGTCTCTACAATAGTGAGCTCATCTACCAAGCTTGGCGCGATGCGGTCACTGCGAATGTGACAGGTTCATCTCCCCAAGTTGTGTCAAAACTTACAGATTTAAAGTACATCATCCGTGCTCCAATTGGTAATTCAGGAACCCTTGCTACCATGAGAGATGTTCTTCTCTCGCAAGGTGTCTCGAAAGGCCAACTTGAAAGTGAAGTGACGGTGAAGCGAACTTTTGACGACCCATCGAGTGATGAGTTCAAAATGTTGATGGGGACCGTAAACGGAAGACCCATCGGCAGATTGTGCGCTGATCACGCGGAGAGCTTGAACGGGAAACAGGTACAGAAGATACATGTTTGGCACAAATTTATACCATGTTTTGGCGCCATGATCTTCGAACTAGGCGAGGAGAAAGCTTCGACCGAACTCGAGAGAGAACAAAGCACCCCTAGTCAAGGTAAGTCAACCACCACACAAGCTCCTTCCCAAAAACCTCAACCCCCCCAACTTCCCCCAGCAGCCCCGGCCAAAGTCACTAGGAGGATTAGCGAGAGGGTAAAGAATTTGATGAAGAAGTTTGAAGAGTGATTCTCGGTAACGAGATAAGAAGGCGCTAGCGCTAAGATATCTCAAATGTCATCAGTAGGCTTGGAGTTTAGTTTGCTAATGTCTATTGATACAAAACACCTTCGAGCCTCTTCCTACTTTGGAGTTGGGTCTCTTCTTTATGAAAGTGTTTCCATGAAAACCAAAACAAGAATAAAAATTCAAGAATACATAAAAATGTAAAAACCAGAATAGAATTTGAGGAATGTGATAGTCTTGATCGGAAAGGTGATGAAAGTCTCAGTGTGAAAATTGAACATAGTGCCAATGCACTAGCAAAGTAAAAATAAAATGTCAACTACCTGACCAAAGGCTATCCGGCCCCAGGGCAACAGATAGCTATCCCCCACAGTACTTAAATAATCTATGTCAGCGTAGTCGACTGTCTACATGTACAAGATCTCTCAACTCTCCATCTCTCCTCCCCCAATCTTCCACTACCCACCAACCCCTCCATCCCAAACATCTTACACCGAACCAGAAACTCAACTATCTGTACTAAGATCATATACAATATGTAAGTATCCCAAAAATTTACTGAGCGACTGGATAGCATATATCTTTCACATCCCTCCATAAAATTTCCGTTACACCACGATCTTCTCCTTCCCCTCCATTTGCACTAGCGTATGAAAATTGAAAATCAAGACAAGAAATCAACTCAACACGTAGGCTCCCCTCTCCATCCTCGAAATTTCCCATTCAATCTTTCTCAAAAGATATTCTTCAAAAATCCTTTTTCTTACATCTAAACACACGCAAGAGGTGACAACAGCAACAAGAGTACATAGACAAAGCAAAGGAGTCAATCCCCAAGCGTGGGGCAATCGCGGCTCGAAAATTGCAGTATCAAAAATGGGGTTTGCAGTAGACATGTGGATAAAAGAAAGTTCCTCTCACCTGAATCTTCCATGTTGGCGACGATGCTCGTATGCACATCTACACCTGCATCTAATTATATCCTCAAGTCTTTTCGGATATATCATTAAGAAGTTTTTAAATCACGTGAACATGCAGGAACGAACCAAAGCAGTACCATGAAGTGGATTGAATCCCGCAAACCCAGTAAATCCCGAGATTTTCAAACCCTGCCCACTTACCGAGGCGAGACGGAGATGCCTCCGTAGGAAAGATGGAATCCCATTAAAGCGGTATGGATTGCAGATATCCCATACTTATTTTCGATATGTAAAGAACGCCCTGCAGTACAGGCTGCACTGCAGTATCGAGCAACTATCGAATTCCGCCACAAAATATTCAACAAGCTCTCTCAGCTGGCACTGCTAAACAATGCAAGATTCGTAATGTCTGACGCCACCAAGAAGAGGTCAAGAAGCTAACGTGCACGAAGATATGTAACTCCTGAGAGGGTAGATGCGATTGGCAGATATCATAACTCAATGGAGAAGCTGTATGCAGTGGAAGTCGTGAAGAGTAAAACACCGCTGAATCATAGAACGCTTGGACGTGTAAAACAATACTATACGAACTTGAACTTCAAGTTTCAGATGGTCGTTTCTGTATTCTCACCTCGAAATCATAAACAGGCAATTTGAGAAGCGGGATCTCCAAGAACATAATCACATAGTGACCTCTCTGACCTTCTATTCCCTGTTTCTGTTATCAGATGACTTCTCATTCAACATGAACTCTATGATACTGTCTGATCTAAATTGAGATGGCCATTGTTCCAGTGACACATTTGGTTATACTCGCGAATGTTAATGAGCTAACATTTCTGTAGTAAGATTGATTAGCTTGACTAAAGGCGGATGTAAACATTCAGCAGTAAAGTAACAAGGATGGCGAGATTAGAGGAGTTCACTGTATACAACGTGGTACGTTAGTTCATTAATATGTCTTACGGCAGTTGGCCTAGTTGATCTGCGAACCAGATCATGCAGGAGGGAGAGTTAATGCAAGTCCCTGCTCCCGTTTCTTTAAGCCTAAGAGGTGATTCCCATAGCCGAAAAATATCTTGCCATGAAAGAATTGCTATCTTATTAAATGAATGGAGATGAATGAGAAGGCTCACGGCCAGAAGGGGCGTCATGATGGGATATTGTGGAGTGAAGTACGTGGTGAAAAGGAAAAATTGTCAAGGAAGAAGAGAGGGGCAACAGGCTATACCGGCAAACATGAAGTGGGGAATTCCGCCCCACTCACCAAAGCGGAGTGGATTGAAATGTAGTTATCCAGCAATCCGAAATATCGCTAAACCTTCATCCGAGCTAAACGATGAAACTCGATAAATGACAGCGGTTGCGCACCGCGCTTTGACAGCCACAATAATTAAAGTTTCGGCTCTTCCCCTTCTCATTTCTGGGGTTCAATCTAAGTCCGAGGGCGAGGGGTATTTCTTGCCTTGTGTACAATTGGAAACGTTCATGATATTCGGCCGGTGAACCAATTACACGAATATATTCATATTTTGTTTCCTGTTTAAGAAAGATTCAGTGCAACTGATTTGTAGCCAAAGTGGACCCGTCTCACAGTAGAGTTACTAAATCCTCAGATGCTGCATGCATGAAAGTGGTACGATGAAGACTCTCTACCCTGTCTACTCTGGGTGATCAGACTTGAGGACTAACCATCATGGGAAGGATAGTTGGTAATTATCAATCAAGATTGAGGGTCAACTCTCGTATGCCAACGCTGAAGTGATTAAATTTTGAGTTGATTGAAACATGTTGATATTAACAACAACAGTATATAGATGATGTGATGAGAAGCTTCATTTTACTTTTATGAAACGGGTGTTTAATGACAGGGAATCGGGTGATGGACCAAGTCCAAATTGCCCCCCATCTTCAAGTCTCTCCGATGAGATTAAATTCGCGGGGTGGTCTCAAACACTCATATATGATTCTTGAGTCAAAGCCCTAAGCATGAGTAAGAGTAGTATGGTTGATACTGCTATGGACGTTTTATCTGCCGCGCCCTTAACGGATAGCGCGAGTAAGAAAAATCAAGGTCTCTTGGAATGCAAACCCTCTGCAGCTCAGAGCATTGATTTCAGCAGATTCGTTCTTTGCTAATCCTCTTAAGACACTTGGGAATCTAAGCGGTAGCGAATCAAAATAGATGTGATGTCCGCAATACACACGAGATCATTAATCTTCAATATGACGCAATGGCAGTTGTGATCGATCGTGTTCTAGCCAGAAATCTCTTGTAGAAATTGAAAGACGAACCTAAACTGTTGAAGTTTGCGAATTAAGCAAAAGAAAAACATCCAAACGTGCATATTTCGAGAATTTTGGAATCTTACTTGAACCAATGCATGCATAAGAATTGTCACTTAAACCGCATGCATCAGTACGGAGTAAGATCATGAGAATGGAAGCGAAAATAGTCTTTCCAGGGGTGATTCGGGTCTGGGAGCGGCCTAGCGCTCCGTAACTAATCCCTGCGTAATCTCTCAAATCCATGAAAATCTTGTTGGAGATTGCACTATCTGATGACCCAAATACAATTGAAATAGGCCCTTAAAGATTAGGTCGAGCTTATGGAGCATCAAATAAGGAAAAGGCTAAACCAAGATTGGGCAAAAGCTGTACTGCCTCGTAAACTCGCGTTTGACCCGCAGTGTCTGGTTGCTTTTTATGTGGTCAAAAGTGGCTTGTAGTATGATCTTCGTACCCATCAATATCCCGTGATAGAGGCTCAAAGTAAAATTACCGTACAATGAGGTCAATTGTGATTTGCACAACCTGCGAATATGATGGCTGTGAAATCGTGTATTGCGGGAAGAGCAGCCGATTACAGCAGTATGAACATGTGAGATATGGATTGATTGTGGTGACAGCGATATTTGCATGGTTCGTAATCAGATGGTTGGGACCCTGTAGGGTTTCAATCTGCCTCCGCACAGACCTTGGTATGTCGACGAGAGGATGCAATTCGATATAGGAAACGATTAGAAGGATGAACGTCTGTGCAAAAGCCTCAAAGAGCAGGGGGGCCTTCAGGTTGAGGTGAGACTTACATGGTCGGTCGTAAAGGCAATGTGTGACCAAGATATTTACTGTTTCGATTCGGCACCAAATGGAGAACTCGGGAGTCTGTGCAAAAGGCATAAGTTTATCGGATGAGACCCTTGAGAAGTCGGGACTAGACTGCTTCTAATTCTAAAAGAAGGGAGATAGTCAACCAAGTGTTTCTTGCTGGGGTCTCGCCTAAGGTAGCTAGGATATATCAAAGACTAGGACGGAGAGAGCGTAGAGGGAGGAAGATCGAAAGCGATTTGAACCGATCAGACATCTTACGTAGGGAGGTAGACCAGTGGTTCTATGATGAATTGATCGCTTTTATGAATGCATCCTTGGACCATCACTCTTAATATAGATTTATCTTCCACATGGAGGTGAATTGGTGGCCGTCTTCGTATGTAATGATGGCTGTGGTCAGTGTGGTGTGATGAGAAAGAGAAGATGATAAAAAAAAAATGGATAGATGCATTGGGGGCTGATTAAATCTCGAGCTGTTATTGCTGTTGCTGTTGACATTGTTGTCGGTATTGATTTTGAGGTTATTGATGTTGATGATAATGATGATGATAATGGTGATGATGATGATGTTGATGTTGTTGTTGTTGTCAAGAATGGAAATGGAAATGGAAATAGAAATGTTCACTGGCGCTGGTCATCGATACCTACCTACCTGTCGCACAGACACTTTAGCTGGGAGTACGGTAGGTTGTATGATCGCACGGTACTTTGACAAGAGATGACGACCTCACTGCCTTACTAATTTACCACCTCACCACCTCACCACCTTACTACCTTACTTCCCTACGACGACCTATTGCCTAGCTACCTCAAAATTAATCAATTCCTGTCAATCTCTCCTCCGTCTTCTCCTTCTCCTTCTCCTCCTCCTTCTCCCTCTCGTCATACACTCGTCGGCGGGGTAAACAATCCCATCATCCTGCGGGTAGGTAGCTACCGCATTTCTATAATTAATTCGATCCATATTGGAGACATTTTGGCTTCCTTGCTAAAAGATGTCTTGTCTGTCTGTCTGTCTGTCTGTCTCTGCTCAGGTAGGTAGTATCAATTATCAAATACCTTCCTGCCTTCCTTTCCTCCCGCAATATTGACCTCATCGATCAATTGAAAGCATCCAACTAATCATCTTGCTAGATACTCATACCACTATCTCGAATCTCGATCTCTCTACAAACGAATGAAACGATCCTCGTGCAATTACAAAGGGAATATGCAGCCAGCCGTTTGTGAGACTTGACTAGGGAAAATACCCACCAACACGACAGGGTCATAAACAAGGAAATATATGCGACAACCACATTCGATATACAGGATATACAAGATATACAGTAGGATACTCGAATGCAGAATTTATCAAGTGAACGAGTCTCGAGCAGGTGATGCCAAAATGCACCTGGGCCCAACATCCACTTGTAGATCCAACCCACTTAATGTATTGCCATGCAATTTGATTTCGTTTCTTCATACTCAACCGGTTCGCGACTTCACGTTATCTTATCAAAGATGAGAATGTATGCGCTCCACTTACGCATCGACATCTTTACGACTTCCCAACATCCATTTTGACGAAAAAGTTTGGAGATGCCGACCCATTATTCTCGCAAGACTGGACTTATTGAGTTGAATCCACGAGGATCTACCACCAACCAAAGTGTCGGGTCTCCAGTAAAGCAAGGGGGTGAAGAGTAAGCATTTCATGGGTCAATTGGATGGGTGACATCGTGAGAACGTCACTTGCAGTAGATTTGTGATGGCATAGATTTCGAGCCCCAGCCGTGGAGATTCTTGGTGAGATCCGTCTAGCATTCCCCACAACTAATCTCATACGAAGTTTGCATGGTTGGCGTCTCACGAATCTATCATCCCCCAAATCTATGATGGAGGTCAATGCACACAGTCACGACTGACTGAGATGTGTGGCACACACATGCAACTAGCTACATGCCACAACATCTCAGATTTTGGGTTTTGAGTTTGCAAGTTTTACAAATTTACGCGTTATGATCCAGATAATCTGTTCTCTCGCCACAAGCTGTGGCAATCAGCAATCAGCATCTCGATGCTCAATCTTCTCCAATTTGCAATGCCCCTAAATTCGAAATGCTGGTCTACCTAAAGTCGCACTTATTCTGTCACTATTTTGGCTCAAAAACAGTGCCATGCGTGGTTGTCAGGGTATAGAGCCAACCATTGGTGAGAATTTCCAAGGCTTCAGCCCTCGACAAGGGTTGATCAAATGCAATTATCCGGGACACAAGTCAGTCTGACACGGCCATATCCGTACAGTACCATTTCCACGGGATCAAGCCGTCCGCCCCCCCGGCTTAGTATCGCGTCTCGTATTGGCTCTTTATTCTCCTCCCATGGCACATCACGACTCTTTACTCTAACCCAGCGAAAACAATTTACCGTCCAGATGGGCGCATGTTGTGTGCAGTTTGTTCAACCACATAGGGCTGTTCAGGCTTGAATATAATGCCCCTCTTCTTCTCAGTGATTTCCTGAGACCAGCAATTGACTCGAAGCCTCGAACGTTTGCTAATGTTTGCTCCACTAAGCCCGAATAACTCATCACATATGCATGGATCTAAAAGTACTCCGCGGCGAGCTTTCCGAGCCCCGCCAATTTATCACAACTTTCTATCACAATTTGATATGGTATTTGCATATACAAACATTCCTTTCATTGTTATGGCCGCGTAGTGCGCTGGAAAAGATTTTATCTGACCGGGGAATAAGTTATTCTATGCATACCGATCCGATAATATCAGCCGATCGGGCTCTAGGCTGATGCTAAGAATTTACTTAGAACTAGTTGTTATAGTAATGGCGTTCGACATAATCCATACCTCAAATGTCGCCGACAGATTTCGCTTCAAGCCACTTTAAGCAAGGTCGAATTCATCACTCCCCATGAGATCTCTAGACCTTATCCTTCCCGCCTCCACTATGGATTTAATCCCAGTGCTTATATCTTCTTGTATCATGGCTCATGGTAGATCTTGCTTGGTGCCTCGCAAGATCCATGACCCATGAGGACTTTGACCTCTTTCGAAAGATGGTAGTATATCCCTTTCATCAAAAGCCTCAGCGCCACACACTGTAGGTTCACAAGGTAGCCAATGCTGCCTCGAATTCTGACGTGCTGGCATGATGTTAGCGTCCTTCTGGATCACGACCATGTCAGTTTCCGATTGGCCATCACTCTAGCTACAATGTCTTCGAAATTGCAGCCTTGGTCAGGTTATCTCATAGATCCCTGCCAGTAGCAAATCTATCAATCACCCTTTTAGGATATCGTTTGTATGGGATTGATTTCAGCAGTAAAGCATACTAGTGAATTGCCAGCCTTGTCTGTTTTTGTTTCACTATCTCTGCCTCCCCGGTCAAGGCACTCGATTGGAATAGTTGGAATCGCACTGTACAACCTTGCCTACCGGCACTTTCACCAGTAGTGGGGAACAAGTCTATATGAATCAATTTCCTTCCATTGCTTTAAAGGCCGGAAAAGACTTGTCCAGATCTCACAATACGCATTCATTTCCAAGGTGTGACGCATATACAAATACTGAACATATTTCCTTCTTCAATACATACACTTTCTCAATAACTTCAACCTCTTTGATCATCTTCAGTTCATATCTGTTCTAAAGTCACTTCTTTCTTCAAGCTTTTGTGTCAACTTGACGAAGTATCAACTTCAGATCAATCTTTACACTATCAGCAACAACAAGTCTTGCATCAAGCAAGACAACTCGGAAAAATGACGATTATATCACACACATCCTGGCGCTGGAATGGGGACTCTCACATTCCATTTTGCTATATGGATACAGCCGGCATGGTTCAATCTATGAATCCCCAAACAACAACATCAGCAGGCTTAGGGAGAGCAACCGTTGCTGCTCCCATCATGCCAATAAGCTCTTATGGTGGCAGCACTTTCAACATGCCCAATAGCCATCAACAGATTCAACAGAACTCATATGGTTTCACGTCTTACAATGATGGTAGCTTAAACACTATCATCCCAACTTACGGAGCCAATTACATTCAGCCACGACCTCTTCCCGGCATGATGCAATCTTTTGCTCCTACTCCAAAACAGGCACCTTTCAACGGAAGCAACCGACGAGGATTTGTGGGAAGTACGCATCAAAATCAAAGTCCTCAAATCAAACCTGAACCTTCATGGGCAACACCTGCAGGTCAAAAATCACCACCGAAAACACAATCAACCCCACCACCTAGCAAAGACATGAATCCTCTTCCTTTGTCTGGCTCTGATGAGGCACACATTGGGAGCACAGCAATTGACCGACTTATGAAAGTCATTCAAACTAAAGCACAAACATTGCAAACGCAATTACCACCTATTCCTCAGATTACAACTGTGGTAGGTGCACCCCACACCCTCTCTCGACAGGATTCAATGTATCGAAGATTTCATGGATATGAAAAAGAAGAAAAGCAAATGCTCACATCTGGTAAGGCTTCGAGTGAACCAGGACACTCCAAGAGAAAAGAGAAGAAGTATCCATGCACTTTCGAGGATTGTCCATCAAGTTTCCCACAGAAGACACACTTGCAAATCCATCTCCGGAAGCATACTGGTGCAAAACCATATGTAAGTAGTCAGAATCTATGCATGTCACTTAATATGTACACCAAACTAATAGTATATGTTTAGACATGTAGCTGGAAATCTTGCGGTCGACAATTCTCTCAGGCAGGAAACCTCAAGGTAAGAGTTCCCTTTTGCCTCTCATCTGTCAAATTTCATGCTAATCAAGAATCTCCTCAGACGCATATGAATCGTCACAGTGGCGAACGACGCTTTTCTTGCGAAATATGTGGCAAGCGTTTCGGACAACCAAGCAATCTGAGTGCTCATGCAATCGTTCACACTGGCGAAAAACCCTTTGAATGCAAACTCGACGGATGCGAGAAACGTTTCACACAACGTGGTAACCTCAAAGTACGCTAACTCATTAACTTCTTATTTTTACCTTTCCTTTCATCGTCCCACTCATGGAATAAGCTCTAACATTTCGTCAATCAGACTCACCACAACAACTTTCACGAGCAAACAATTGAAAATCTCTTGTTGAAACTTGAAAGCGGCGAATTCGACCTGGAGGCTAACAAAGAATTCTGGTCTTACTTCATAGATCTTTACAAAAACAGTAACAAGGGCATCAAAGGACGAGGCAAAGATAGAAACATCAGTCCCCGAAGTCGATTATCCAAGAGCGGCCATGCAAGTACTGGCACAAATGCTAGCAGTTATATCTCGTCTAACATGCGAAGTTGTCATGGACTCATGGGCGTGGATGCAACCTCACCATTCAGTAGTGATGTAACGATGTACGATTCCGATGCGAGTCTGAGGAGTCATACCAGTGGAAGCATGAGTGTACATAGTAGTTATGGTTCTGTCTCCAGCGATGGAACGGCATCTACCTGCTCAAGTTCCTCAGACGAAATTACCTCAGATTATGAGGATCATCGTGGTGAAAACTCAAGAGGCGGATTCTCTTTTGGAGAGAGGCTGTACTAAGCTTCTGCTAATAGTTCAAGACAAGAAAGCTCGGGGATTGGTGAGGGGAGGGCGAGCACATATAACAAACGTACAAAGTTACGAGAAATGCAAGTTACGAACGAGCAGAAAAACGAAAATGGACGAATGGTAGAAAACTATCTTCATCAACACGACTATCATTCTCATCATCATTATCAAACGACCGCGCACACGACCATCTACAAAAAAGCGTTGTATTTTTACAGCACCAGACCGAGTGCCTACCCATCACTTCTGTATCAGAAGTAGTTTATCTGGACATTTTTCTTATTTTTTTATATCTTTCATTATCACAATCCTTTCATTCTTCCATTTTTCATTTTTTACTCATTTTTCCCGGGTGGTACAGTCAATACAAAATCTTACAAACTGCGGATATCATGTATTTCTTAGGAAGGGCAGGGATCTTTGTATTTTGGGCAGACAATAGTGGAACGGGGAGATATTAGTAGATGTATGAGGACAGAATGGGAGTGGGGCAAAGGGATGGAGTATATCTTGTATGGATAGGTTGAGGAATCGATGAGGGGGGGAATAAGTGGAGAGAAAGTGGGAAAGGAGAAGTACAATATTGAGTATAATTATCACAATAGTTGATAGTCAGATAGTCAAGCGAATTAGATTTATTAACGAATAATATGACCACATTCTTATCAATTAAGCTTGATCCATTTCAAGTTGTTCAATATTTCCAAGATCCCATGGTGATAACCATGCGCTATTCTAGATGCTGCTGAGGAGTCATCTTATGTTTTACACTTACTGAAGGACTAGAACTCAAGATATGGATACCAAAACAAAAGGTGCGAGTATATCGCTATTGAATCTTCTCCAGACCCTCAAATAAGTTACACGTAGTGACCACTGACCGAATGCCATGAGGCTGCAAGTATTGACATCTCATCCATCCCTTACCTTAAACGGCCAGCCTCACAGCTTCGCCTCGAATCATCCCGTACCGATTATTGGAACCCGACGCGAGGGAGAAGGAGAACTTGGTAGGGAGTTGCCTGTTTCCGATTTCTTCCTCCCAAACTAACCTTTCAATGTGAACTAACACACCGAAAAACTGCAGAGAGAAATCTCTAGAATGTACGTATGAATGTGTACAGATTACTGCGCAAACAGCACGTGAAAGAATGGATGAATTGTTCTACACGGTATGTAGGTACAGTGTCTTCAACCACGGTAATTGCCTCGCTTTCGCATTGATCTTCACACCGAGTACCTACCTATCTGCAAGCAAGCAAGCAAGCAAGCAAGCTCTGCTCTGCACTGACGAAATCTCTGATGTTGCACTGCTTCTACATACACACACACACATACATACATATCTACCATAATACACACACATACGTACATGGTGCATAGTACATAGGACGTACCCGGGGGAACAGGTAGGGTATGTACGATTGATGCGGTTCTGCATGCATACTCGAGCATTCACCGCTTCACCCCAGGTTACATTCTGTTACATACACCACCTACCGATGCTGGGAATGGCGATATGAAATCGTCACTTTGACAAACGAATCGTGGTCAATCTGGCATGCATCAAACAAATATCGCACGACTGACTCAAGCCATTTCTTCACATGCCCACGCGCGATTCAAACGCAGGATTAATATCCTTCCATTCCATGTCTTTCTTCGTTTGAAGTAACGTTCCGTATATGCCGTATACTAGGTGGGTATGTAAATTGAACAAGCGTCGCATCACACTAAACCCTTTTCAAATAAGCTTATCTCCTATTTCCTATCACCGGACTGGGCTGAATGGGGGAATGATTAATGAATTGCTGAACCTTCGAGTGTTTGATCCACTCGAGCCACTTTGGCAATCCTTCAATCACTCAACGATACCTGCAGAAACCTTTTCGCTCCTTTGGGAAATGTGTGGAGACTAGGTTGTTGAGCTTGTTACGGGTCTGCATTCCCTCTTTCATCTCCATCCGCATTTCGCACAGATCTTATGATCTCATCTCGTTGCAAACAAAAACGCGGGAAACAATCCCAGCTTGTCTAACAAATTTAGCAAACCCGGCAACTAGCAGTAGTCAGTAAGGTTAAACTGGCAGCTAGCAGCGGGATGGAATCTAGATCTGCCGCGCTCCCCCCTTTAGTTGCACCTGTCTTTGACTTTTCTTTCGATTCGTCCGAGATCTGAATTGGAACTAGTGTGCAGGTCTGGATTTGTTTGGCATGCTTTATGGCAACGATTGGTATGCGCAAGGGAGAAATTCTGAACCAGGCAATTCCCCTAGGCTCGTCTAATTTAGGAAATAATCGGTCGTCTTGGGCATAAGTGCTGATGGTTTTTGGCCATCCAAACCCAGTGTGGGGTTCTGTTCAATTCTGGCTCGATTTCCCGTTTCCTGTCTGCGTCTGTGTACAACAGGACATGGGCTCTTTCGATTCGCAATGCGATTCATCGTCCATGTCATGGATTCTACGATCTTGACGGCTTGGCCTATGGCGCGGCACGGATGGGACGGTACATGTGTGGCACAGACTGGAGGATGCTCGAGAAACTAGCTTTTGGGTACACACTGCACACTATGTATGGTCCCATCTCTACGGACGCACGGGAAGAGCCTGTGAATAGCCGGTTTTTAGTTTAGGGATAATAAATAGGTAATTTTAACATCATGTCAAGTCCTGCCTCTACTACAAACGCTTCCAAAAAATGGTATAGCAGATTTAATTATATTCACATCTCTGGGCTGAATATTGAAAACTTCATGTTGGAGTGGGATCGTCAAGAGAAAGGGGTTGGGTGTGTGAGCCTTGTTTGTCAATTGCGCGATAACCTTTAACCCATGACGCAGATCAGAACACGGGTACATCACGTGCAAGGGAATGGAAGGTATCATTTGGATTAGAATCATTTTGGAATGTATTTAGAATGTACAATGTATAATCGTATGACGGCCCGATCATCAAACTTTGCTGAGCCGAGACAAGGCGAAATCTCTTGTCATCGGATTCTCGGATCATCAGCTGGCTGATATATGATACATCGGTCGCTCCTCATAATCGTATCCTATCATATAACCAGGATAATGAAAATTCCTGACTCAAGTATCTCGCCTTAGTGAAATAAGGGGGACCTTTCAGTATCCAATAAATTTCCCAGACCATCTAAAAAATGATATATTGTATGTAGCTTGCAAATAAACTCAGCTGCAACTTCACCGCGACCCCACAACCCGGTATCCATCAGATTCAGCCCCCGTGGAGCGTCGACACGAATAATATATTATCATTGGATTGCAATGCGTATGAAGCTTCACCCTCTAATTCCCAATCTGCGTCGTTGATGAGGACTAGGATGCCGGGACGCCTAGGGACACGCAATGTGTGGTTAGTATGGAATTTTAGCATGTTCTGGTGCATACGGGGAAGTGGCTTGGTACCGGGGATAGTTTTGAAACGGTGAAAGCTCAAAAGAAAGTCGACGGAAGGTGCAGATAATGGAAATTCAGATGAACATTAGGGGCATGGCATAACATGGTATCGACACCCAAGCCCAAGAGAATCCAAAAATACTTTCATCGAAACCAACCCATGGTAACACACTAGTGTCCTTCCCTTCCCATGCCTTTCGAGACATTGAGGAAATTGGAAAATAATAAACTTGCGACTCACACGTGATCGTCCAGAACAAACATGTCTTTTCTACTATCTTGCATGATTTCGTCGCACAGATAATTTACCAGCCAGCCGACTGTAACGGGATCGCCCTTGGAATCTGTTTTGGGGATTGAGAGTTTGTGGGATCGTTGGTCGGAAAATAACATTTCGAGACCGCCACTGTTGGAGGGTTAGTTGGATTTGTTTTAGGGAATATTGGGGCGGAGCAGAGAGGCGTACGTAAATTCTACCACGATAGAGAGGGTATCTGTCGCCATTTTGAAGTTACGTTGTGGACTTTTGAATTCTTGGAGGTTTTGATATTGAAGTGGTGGTTTGCGTCGGGGAAATTTTGGCAGCGGCAGAAATGCGACGCTTCACAGCCTCGCTTATTTTGGACTTGTAACTTCGGACAGCAACGTTTATTCTTTGTGGAAAACCGAGTTTATGATGAAAAGAATTGAAGTGCTCTGTTTCGCAAGATGCGTAAAATTAATTCTAAATCTTACACTTCTTTTCATATCAATATCAAAGAGTTTCAATGAAATTTGGATTTTTAACCGATTTTCAAAATGCATTGTGGTGATGTGACTCCAACCAAAAATTCCTGTAAAAATGGGTGAAAACAATTTTCACGACATCAACAAAATATCTCCCAGACAGCAATATTGAACCCACCACGAAATCACGACTTTATATGATATTGGCGTTCAACCTGGATATGATCCAAACGATTTTACGATAAATCTCATTTTCTTTCGTGAATGCGTTGATGAAACAATATTAAATATGATGGATAAAATTACTCCAGAATATCTTGCGGCAGGTGCCAATAGACATCCTTCTGCTGCCGATTGGGACGAGTCTGGACTTTTGGCCTATGGAACAGATAGGAATATCGCATTATGGTATCCCGGAGTAAGTTTTGACATGTCTTTGATGAAGATCCGGATCATGGGGATTTATGACTGGTCCTCTAATGCCTATCAAGAGAAGATACTGATGATGTCTAGAATGAAACTTCCAGAGGGGTTTTCGAACTTCTCAGTGGCCATACGGATACTGTCAATGTGGTGAAATTCATGCCGAAATCACATGGTCTCATACTCAGTGGATCTGTTGATAAGACGATCCGGATATGGAAACGGGATGAAGTATCAAAGACTTATACTTGTGTTCAAACTATTACCGATCATCAGAGCACAATCAATTGTATAGCTGTGACGGAAGGATCCAAAATCTTTGCTACCGGATCAGCAGATGCTATTGTCAATGTGTGGAAACTGGATGATAGCAATGTTGCAAGTTTGCAGCAGTCTATCACGATTACTCCCCGATTGTTCCCTCTGGCTTTGGCTTTGAGTCCTTTGACTGGAGCTTCGGATTCTTTGGTTCTTGCAGTTGCGGGTACTAAGGATATTATTCAACTTCATGTGCTTGATGCGCAGGCAGGATCAGAATTCAAGTACAAAGCCACATTATCTGGACATGAAGGATGGATCAGATCATTGGAATTCACCAAAGAGAGCGATAGTCTCACGAGTGATTTACTACTATCATCAGCTAGTCAGGATAAATACATCCGACTCTGGAGAATCCATCAAGGCAAAGAATTGCCAGCCGCAGCCACAGCAGCCGATCCAACATTCGGTGCATTCATGCCTGGAAAATCTCTATCCAACAAGGCTCATCGATTCCAAGCTCAAGGACTGGATTTCTCAGCTACATTCGAAGCTTTACTGCTCGGGCACGAAGATTGGATCTACAGTACACGCTGGCTTTCTCCATCTTTGACCTCCAACCAAAAACCCCAACTCCTATCCGCATCAGCAGATAATTCTCTCGCCATCTGGGAACCCGACACCCACACCGGCGTCTGGGTAACCATCGCACGGCTTGGCGAGATCAGTGCGGAAAAGGGTTCTACCACCGCCACTGGTAGCACCGGCGGTTTCTGGACCGGTCTCTGGTCTCCCACCGGCAGCACCGTCGTTTCGCTCGGCCGAACGGGAAGTTGGCGTCTATGGAACCACGATACATCTTCCGATCGCTGGGCCCAAAATACTGCCATCACAGGCCATGTGAAGTCCGTCATGGGAATCGCATGGTCGAAAGACGGAAGTTATTTGCTCTCGACTAGCACGGATCAAACTACTCGCTTACACGCCCAGTGGAAGAGAGATGCACTAAGCAGTTGGCATGAGATGGCGAGACCGCAGATCCACGGCTATGATTTGAATTGTATCGATTCTCTCGGCGCCTCTCAATTCGTCTCCGGCGCCGACGAGAAACTCCTCCGAGTATTCAACGAACCCAGAGCCGTCGCCACGCTCCTCCACAAACTCTGCGGCATCGGCAACGAAAACCCCACCAACATGCCCGACGCAGCCAACATGCCCGTCCTCGGCCTCTCCAACAAAGCCATCGAAGCCATCACCGACGACCAAACCATCTCACAACCCGACGACCGCGACCGCGACGCCATAGACCCCGCATCCATCGTGCACAAATCAACCCTCGATCTCTCCTCCCCTCCCCTCGAAGACCATCTCTCCCGACACACGCTCTGGCCCGAAACCGAAAAACTCTACGGCCACGGCTACGAAATCTCCGCGCTGGCCGCCTCCCACGATGGCTCGATTATCGCCACCGCCTGCAAAGCCAGCTCGATCGACCACGCCGTCATCCGACTCTTCGAAACGAAAGAATGGCATGAACTCAAACCTTCTCTCACCGCGCACTCTCTCACCGTCGCGCGTCTGCGCTTCTCAAGCGATGACAACTATCTCCTCTCCGTCGGACGCGATCGTCAATGGGCGATCTTCAAACGCGATGATTCAGATCGAAATACCTATGCGTTGGCGGAGAGTAACCCGAAAGGCCACACGAGGATGATTCTTGATGCGGCGTGGGCGCCTACCTCTTCTGGTAGCACATCCCCCGTCTTCGCAACCGCCGGACGCGATAAAAGCGTCAAGATCTGGGGCCGCGACGCAGAAGGCAAATTCGCTTGTAAAGCGACCATCGCATCCGAAGCACCCGTTACCGCGATTGATTTCTGCGATGAGCTGGTGGGGGAAAGTACCGTGTACTTAGCTGTTGGGACTGAAGTTGGGAGATTCAAGATTTATCGGGTGGAGATTGGAGATGAGATTACTGTTGCTGAGTTGGAGTTGGAGATTAGGTATGTGTTATTTTTCGTCCCTAATGATTCTCATCTTGATCTTGATCTTCCCTCAAACTTCTACTTTAATTCTTCCTTTCCTCTTATTTAGATATACTAAATCGATATCATAGCAATAATTACTACCCCTCCAAAGCCATCACCCAATTAGCATGGAAACCATCTTCAAAAGAAACATCAGAGAATAATACTTCAAGCATGGAACTTGCAATTGCAAGTGAAGATAGTTCTTTAAGGATTTATTCTCTATGTTGAATAATTCTAAGGGGTATCGTATGTTAAAGTACGCCTCCTGTAATGCTTTTGTTGAACGCCAAACCTATCTGCCCATAAATAGATACATACAAAGTTAAAGGCGTTAAGGCACTCTACATAAAATAGACAAAATAAAAAATAAAAGTATGAAATATGAAACATCCCTTGGGCATGCTCTCTAGTTGAAGTCGAGTGCTGCGCCGTGTTGTCCCATGTGTATATACGCGTTAAAGCGCTTCACCACATTATTCTCACTGAAATCCACCTAACCTTTTCCCTGTCCTCCTGCTCCCCGTCAATCCCCTCAGCTAAACCTTCTTCTCACTTCCATACCCACCGACACCTGCCACCAAATAACTAGTGCCCGAACTACCGGCGTTCTTCCTGGGTCCTCTCTCCTTCAAATCCTCTCCCAACCACTTAAGAACCAATTCTCCCAATCTCGAATTTCCACTACTATCTCCACTCATCTCCTTCTCAAACTTCTCTATGTTCCCCCACTCCTTCACTCGTCCAAGACTCATATGCACCAAATCCGTCGGCCATCCCGCCAAATTGTCCAAAATATGCGTCGCATACACGATGGTACACTTTCTCTTCTCCGTCTCCTCTCTCAGGAAATCCAAAAATCTCTTTCGGCTCAAGAGATCCAAATCCACCGTAATCTCATCTAGTAGCAAAATTCTCCACGGTCTAATAAGTCCCATGGCAAGCTGTACTCTTCTTCTCTCTCCATCAGATACTTGATGCATGCGCCATTCCAAATCAATATCTAAAACCTGCACAAGCTCGTCTCTTCGCTCGGGATAGTGGTTTCCGCCCACAGAAGTGAGGAGTTCACGCACACCAATGTCGGTTCGTACGATGGGATTGAGTACCCATTCGAGGCCGAGATAGGTTACGCCGACGAGAGAGTCTTTGAAGGGATCGAGACCGGAGATGGAGATTGTAGAGGTGGGAGCAAGTCGTTTGCCAGAGAGGAGACGGAGGAGTGTGGTTTTGCCAGCTCCGTTTGCACCAATGAGTCTGAGAGGGAGGAGATTAGCTATCATTCACAAAGATGGAGGGTAAATTATGAGAATTGTGCGGAGAGATTGAGTGAAGGGGTATCCATCTGCCAAAAGACAACAACGCAGACCGAAAAAAGAAACCAACGTACAAAGTCCTCGAGCTAGGCGGCAAACTCAGCGTAATATCCGTAAGACCCAAAGTCGAATCCGGGAATTTATAAGTAAGGTTCTTGACTTCAATTGACGGGGCTGCCGTTTGATCATCTACTGAATTAACCATTTTTGCGTGCTTCGTTTCTATCTTACTTCTTTCTTTTCTGGCAGAATTCGATTTCAACGATTGAGATTATGAGAGAAGAGAGAAGAGAGAAAGAGATTGTCTGAAAACAAAGAAGAAAAGTACAATGGTGAAGTTTATATATGAATTTATTTGTAATTGTTTTGATGACTTGATGGGATAGTGGGGTGATGTCCGACATATATCTTTTGGTGGATAGGAATCGATGACGCTATCTTATCTATAATTCGCAATGACAGGGATTATTTTTATCGTGATTAGATAAGCGGATGCTGGAATAGCTTCATGTTTTCGTATTCGTTTGGGGATGAGGTTGACTTGGGATTTGATATTGATTTTACTATTCTCGTTTAGTCTCTGACTTTCTTTGTGGTGAATGATAATCCAGCTTCAATTGTGCTCTCATAGTAGATACTAAAAGTCTGGATCGTTCGTTCATGAAGTATAAGAAGAGCTTCGTCTCTAGAAATCAGTTCTCTTAATTTTCGTCTTCAAAAATACTCATATACACAGTATCAATTCTTAATAAGTTAGTGCATCAGCATGATAGCAGAAGGATCATGTTTGCATTTGTGCACGTGAATAAGACTTGAGTGTTTGTTTCAAACATTTTTGCATCCTTTCTCAAAATAACATTCTCATTTTCATCGTCTCTGCTCTATTCTGGCACTTCGCTTCCGATATCTGCCCAGAGATCACATCTTGCTCCCCTCCCCCCTTCCCAATCGTAAGCATTCACGATCGCTAAATCAGCTTCCAATCCTGACCCTGTATTTTCTGTCACATTCAAACTCAATCCATCTGCCGTTGTCCATACAACCTCTTTCGGTTGCCCTCCAGTCATATTGAGTTTTAACATCTGATATGCGCCATACCCATCAGTTTTCCATAGCGGCCATACGCCAGCCCCTGCTGCAGAAATATTATCTCCCGTCTGAGTTCCATTCCCAAGAGTGGTGATAGATATAATGACGTCGCTAGGTAGTGTTGGATCATTATAAATGATAAATCTCCCCCATATTTTTTCCACCGCAGTACGGAAGCCAGGAGATAGTGTTCCGAAGCCGATGTACTCACGGTTTACAGCATAATATGCATTCAGATCTCCTCCGTGCTGCGATGGAGGAACACTGAACTCGTATTTCCAGGCTTGAGGATATGCAGAGGCCAACCAGTAAGAGGGACAGACAAAGGTAGTTTCAGCATAGAGGTTGTTGGCTCGTTGCTGCTGGCCGATGGCGTAAACGGATTGGTTGAGAGCCGTGGGACCATGATTACCTGCTGATGCGAAGAGAGGACCTGGGATCGTTGGTGGGATGGAGTAGGTTTTGAGGAGGCGATTGTAAGTTGAGTTAGATATTAGAGGAAAGAGGGATTGTGTGTAAGTGTTGAAAGCGGCAGTTGTGTTGATGTGTTGTGGGACGAATACAGGGCCTTCATTAGCATTGTTCTGGAAAAGGTTAGCTGTGCGTCCTATTTTTGAAGATATAGTTGAAAGGGATACTCACGCCGGATAACATTCTCACACCATTAACCTCGCCGGCTAATAGTTGCTCCGAGGGCCTCTTGACTACAAATTCGCCATCTGTTACTGGCAAGAAAGCCCATTGTCCGTAATTTACGCTTGCAGAGATATATGCACTTGCATTCTGCAACGCAATCGTATCCGCACCGACCAGACAATCGAAAGCACTCCCATTACCCGCTCCACAGCCCACAGCTTCCACGAATTTTTTATAACTCTCCTCTGGTAACGAACCGTCATAATCATACTGCATTGGCAAATACGGACTTGCCACAATTGCATTATTGAACAAACTCGTCCCTAAACTTCCACCAAAAGCCATACTTTGTAACATTACCGCCCCGCCTCCTGCTGATTCTCCGGCAATAGTAACACGGGAAGGATCCCCTCCGAATTTGGAAATGTAAGTTTGAACCCATTGAAGTGAGAAATTCATATCATAAAGAGCGGCGTTTGGGATACCGCCCGAGCCGACAAGTTCTGACGATGAAAGAAACCCAAATGCTCCAAGCCGGTACTGGATCGCTACTAGAATAAAGGCGTTTGAGTTGGTGTTGGCCAATTCCGAAAAATCATTGTTCCCGGAGCCGGTACCGTAGCCTCCGCCATCTAAAGGGAGTTAACTCGGATCGTCGAAAGTGAAAGAAATGGATATGAATCATATACTTACGAATCCAAACCATCACTGGAAGATTTGTCGCATTTGGTGATGCCCACACGCTTAGGAATAAACAATCTTCGTTTCCAAGACCTGATCTGGTAAAATTGTAATTTGCGGCCCTTGGATTGTTAGTATGGCGGAAAATCAGGAACACTTGACTGATGCTTACATAGGAGCGTTGGGACTTTGAGGGCAGTGAGGAGGGTAGGCAGTTGCCTTTAGCATCGAAGTTCTGTTCACTGCAGGAGATTGTGGTTTTTGCCAGCGCAGTGCTCCTGTTGGAGGTGCCGCATATCGAATCCTGAATCTGTGAGTTTCCTGCTTCTACGAACAATTGAATTGATGCGATATATACCCTTTGAAGATGTTGAGTTGTGATGTGGCATTGTAATATCCCTGATATACATTGTATCCGAGGTCAACTATTGGAGATGAGGTATTACTACTTTGACGTTCACCGAACTGCGATTTATTAATTTCCACCGGCGAACATGTTATGATTGTTGCCGAAAATAGTAGAAGGAAATGAGAAAGCAGCATGATCACAAATTAACGTCCAATCAAGGATATTTTGATCGATCAGAATGAAAATATGAAAATTGTATTTACACGATCAGAATGGGACTGTTAAGGTGTCTTATGCCCATTTGTTATGTAGTAGTATAGAGATTCTCTACGCTTGTCTCCCACCACCATTCTTATATGCATACCAAATTGACAAGATGCAGCGATAGCCGTGTGTTATTATGATCATTACAAATCAGAAACTTTCTATCGCATGTAAGCGTGCGGAAAATATCTTTTGCTATCGGTACATACCAGCCCGAAAATCGATTTATCAAGAGCGGCAGAACTACTGCAGGTCTCACAACAATGCGGGGTAGTTGGGGTGTGTCGGAGTGCGATGATCTACACTTGTATTTGTAACTGGTGATGACTTCATAGACACCATGAGAATCAAGTGAACCTTTGACATAAGCTGACAACAGGGAGAAGTGATGCTTAAACTCAATATGAGCATCTCCATTATTGGAACGCCGCTTGTGTCTACTTCTGAAATCTGCCTTTTCCGACCACTCCACCTCGGGTTGATGTGGGAAAAGTGTAAAATTCTTTGAAATAGAGCAGTGTAATAATCGGCCATTTAAGACAATGATTGAAAAATCCGAAAGACCGATTAAAGATTATGGTTGAGGTTATGGTTGAGGTTATTCTCGAGGAAAAAGATCCTTAGCACGACAGAGAAGTATTGTGGGTAGGGAGCGAGGTACAGTAGTCACACACGCTTAACCTTAGCTTATTAGACTCGTGACCTCTCGCGTGCAACTCAATTCCTATTCCTACACGCGCATACAACAGAACAAAAAAAAAAAGTTGCAGATCAAGTAAACCTTAAAGTACTCTTTGGTTTTTCTATTAAAATCTATCAATTGAACCAAATGCTTTCCATCATTCAATTGGAGATCGACATTACAATCCTTCTTGGAAATCTTTGATGGCTTAAGCTTAACCTCGTTCCGTCCTTGTGGAGACGCGTCATCGTCCTCGACATCTTGCAGGATGTCTTGCATTTGGCTCCAAAAATGGATCAAATTCCTCAAGGCAACAACAAAACAGGCTTTTTGCTCACAGCATACTTGTCGACGCTCGTATCGGCATATCTCGAGGTCAGATTATCCAGCGACCCAAAATATAGGTCCGAAAGACCTCAAGTCTAGTCAAGGAAGGCAATTCGCAAGATTTTCTTGTGCTCAACTCTGCAAGAAATCTACCATGCAAGTCTATTTTGACCAAATCTAGTGACCAAGAGGTAGAACAGCGATGATGGAAACACATCAACATTTAGCATTCCAACTCCATTTTCCACCAAAATTCCCCAAATATATTCCCTGAAAACTACTGGCAAAGCTGGAGTGTCCCAGTACCTAGCTTTGAGACCCTTTGCGTTCGCCAAAGCGACTTGAGTCTTGATCTGGTTTAGTTGCGACGAGCTGAATTTCCAAAGCCAGATTTTCCCCAAAGTACTCATGGAAACGCTTGCATAATACGAATTCGATTGATTGTATTTAGGGTTGGCGATATCCTTGAGAGGGGCATCATAAAATACATCGCGGTAGGTAGTGTTCGAGATCAAGAGGTCAAATGGGGCATTCCCTGTAGCGACGACAATTATTGGGCGCCAGTTGATCTTGTCAGTCGAGTTACTCCAATTGGTGAGCCAACCGTTGGAACGAAGAGCTTCAAGTTCCTGGTTCACTATAGGCCATAGTTCAGACCCCTTGGACTTGAAATCTAAAACTAAAGTCAAGGTGGTATTGGGACTCGACTGGAACACGCCGTTAGGATTGCTGTAACCTCCATCTGACTCTGTAGAATTATTGTTTTGATTCTCAAGGATGCTGAGGAGGGGCTTGATGTATAAATTCTGGAGCGTGCGATCATCTCTGAGCGATCTCAAAGAATGGCCAACTAACAAGCCATCGCTACCGGCTTTATTGTTTAGCCATATGTCTGCTTCTACTCCTGTACAACCTGCAGCGACAGCTTCGAAAAGAGGAACGGATCTCCAGTAGTCATTGTGAGAATGGCATGACAGCGGTACAATATCCTTTGTGAAATCTGGCCTCCAAGGTGCAAGGAGAGAAGATGAATCGCTGGGATCTTTCCACTGCTCAACCAAATAATTTATTCCGCTCGATGGCATATGAGGCATGTGGTGACGGGGGAGGGTCATAAGTAGCATAAGCCATAGCCTAAGGTTCTGGTTAGTTCGAAGAATTCCAGTAATTACAAACACAGACAAGATTCGTGAGAGTACTGACAACACGGCGATACTGCCAAGAACTAATAGATAAAGCAATACCCAAAACCTACGTTTCCAGGTCCATGCCCCTTTCATTGGATTTGGAAGACCATCAACCGATCGATGGTAGATAGGTAGGCAACACCGCCCTTTATCAATACTGTCGCCCATATCGCTGATACTATGTTCAGAATGAGCGTAACTTGGTCGATTTAATAGTCGAAATGTCGAATTTGTTGTTCGGGGTTGCGTATTGCTCGTGAGAATACCCATTCTGAAGAGCGACTGTGCTGCAGCGCTATCTTATGAAATACAATAAGAAAGCCAATCATCATGAATCACTACGATATATCGGAAGACGCGTTAAATATTAAAGGAAAACATGCCAACATTCACATTCACTGAGGCTTTAGTATCAAGATACATAGCCCCTGAATCCTTCGCAGCGGTTATTATCATCTTCGTCATCCCGTATCGATAGTACGTATAGCTTGCTCTCATGCCTCATTTTTCTTCAACTGCATGGTGCTCGTTGATATAGGCAGGCACAATAAATTCTTGAGCTTATCCGAAACAAGTTACCGAGTCTTCTGGGGGGTGGTGATAGTCCTCGGAGTTTGACACCACGCAGAAGGCTTCTCAAGTTTCGTTTTCAAATTTCTTTACAGTGGCGCTTAATAGATGCAGAATTACACGTCAAGATTCAAGGCTCAAAGAAGGATAATGCTCTACCCTAATTACTCAATTATGTCTATCGTTACACAAGTGATTGGGCTCGCGGGGAATCTACATGAAATTCACTCGGGCTGCGCCGCTGTGTGATGAGAAACATGTTACAACAGTGATATAATTGAATTTGACACTTGCTTACTAAAGTAATCAGTATACTATTTATATTACAAAAACGCCTACCGGCAGACGTTATGCCATCGATTTTCAGGAGGAAGCCATCTAGTGGTGGCATTTGCGGCCTGAGATGGCGCTAGCAACTACCGAACATTTGGGACAAAGCCGAGGCGGCACGGCAAGCCAGAAATCTTGAGCCAACAAAACTATGTGGTGGCTCATGTTTATTAAAAGAGCACGTCAGCCTTCTAGCGAGTGGTGAGCCGCAAATTAGGCTTCGAGTTTACTGTGCCGTTTCCATCGATGCAATTGCGTTGTTTGAGATGCGTGCTCGCCAAAACGTCTCGTGTGCGTAGAGCCAATGAGAGTTATTCTCTGCTTACTTTTTACCGTCCACCAGGTGGTCGTTTCAAAACGATGGAATTATACGCCGTGCGCCGGGCGGTATAACTCGAATCAAATTGGCAAGCCACAAGGCTTATGTTTTATTTTCTAAAAACCCCCCCTTTGCTTTGCAGTTATGGGCTTAGCCAAACTTGTATCCATCTTACTGAGATTACTGATGAAAGTTGGTCAAATAATACTGTTTGCTATAGTTACGTCGGTTTCCAGTTGTACAATGATGGCGGAAGTTAGCAAATGATATATGCCCCAAACTTGAAGGTATTCTTGTATGGAATTATCTATGCGATTCCGTAACGGAATATCACGAAACAGAATATCAAATCCTATATCTGTATCTCTGTCTCAAAAAGATAGCGACCCATCACTCGCTAATACCACGACTCTCCGACGCCATTGGGATTTGTTTGGGCTGGTCTCTAGAATCGACACCTCATGACCTCAGAACACTTCACTCGTCACAACGCCAATGGAGTACCCTGTCAATTAGGCCTATGATTGTGAATGGGTGGTAGCTGCTTGGTAACTTGCAAATGCACGATTCTTGGGTAGTATTAGCGAGATACTTTCCTAGTAGATTTTAACAAGTGGAATAATTCGGGGGATTTTGCATCAATTCAATGTAGTGAGGCATTTTCAAGGTGTTAACGTCATATGTTCAGACCGAATGCTTCATCCATACTCCTGCAGATTGACTAATCCAAATGGTTGCTTGTACAATTTTCTGTTTGCAATGCTACAACTCGTATTCAGCCCGCCGACACGTCTCCCCTCCAGTATCACTTTTGCTTAGCGTCAGAACCACCCTGTTTTTCTTTCCAAATTTGTAGTTACCTAGATTTCAGAAACTAAGGGCCCAACTTCGGTAGCCGGCTCGTATTTACTTTCTCTAGTGCTATTTTAAAGTGGAGTAGGGGTGCTTACACCTCGCTTTTGCACCATTTTCGGATCCTTCCGAGAGGGGGGAGATACGTCGGCCTCGTTATGAATATACTGAGCAGTTCTGTTTTTTGTATATCGTTGCCTAGAAAAGATATCAATGCCAGATTTATTTTTTATTGTGGAAATAACACGAACTGACTGGGGCTTTCCATGACGTATAAGTGCAATGCGCCGTGTACACAGACTTAGCATTAGTTCGTGATATCTCGGATATCTTGAAACTTTGGGTACTATCATCACGATCCCTTGGCTTTTATGGCTGCCTCTCGTCGATTCTCAATTATTAATCACTCAACTTACACACAACTAGAGGCACCGGGTCTGGAGTCTCGGAAGTCGTAAAATCCGAACTGTCAGATACATCTGAACTAATCATCGACATAGGCTACAGAACCGCAACATACCGATTCTGCTTCTCTGTCTACTCCAATCAAGGCAGCGATCTATTCAGCATCGACTACGGAAATAAGCAAGATGCTAATATCGATCTTGAGCACGTATGCCACTCGAGAATGAGCCAGCATATCGAATGTGTGACCTTCCCAGATTTCAATTACACGATGAGAGCCAGATTAGCATGCTTCGTGGCAGAGGTCCATGATGAAGAGTTGGATATACACCACTATCCTGACATTAATGTCTGCAAGGAATATTCATGATAACCACGGATTCTATTGGCTATTAAAATCAGTTGTTATGGTCCCACTAAGGATGATACGAAGTGCGGAATTTGGATGGGGTGAAGTATAAACATTTTTTATCTTGTTCTTTCAGTCAAAGATTAAGTCGGTAAAATACAAGTGATACGAATCAACTGAAGGTATGTATACTATATGCATGGCATGAGACTAAAATCGTGTTGGAGGGGGCTTCTTCTTCTTCTTTTGGTTGTTTTGACATGTGATTATGCCGTGGTTTGCTTTTCACTCATTTGCTATATATCTCTGAGAAAATACGTAAGTATCTAAAATCATGCGGCTGTCGATGCTAATGATTCTCGACGTTAAACCATCATATCGGACTTTTTCCTCCTAGATTTAAGCGAAAATATAGTGCCTTCATTGATTATCAGATTCTTGAATTAAAGAGGATAACACAATCACTGCTAAATGTGAAAGATATGATTGGTACTGAGCTCTTCAAAAATAAAAGATACCTTGTTCGTTTCCTGCAACTCAATTCCTTATTTACCCTACCAGCGACGATTTGATTATGTAAGGTGACGTGACAAAATTAGGCGATACACTTCATGGTATCAGCCATCCTGATCTATCAATGTGATGAAAAAACCAAGGTCAGCACTTCATTTCCCAGTATTGCACCTGAGCAAAATCCAACATAGATTCCCCAAATTTCCAGAATAACCTCATAAAACTCCATCAAGATGACTGAAAATATCCTCACCTTCTGCACGGCTGAAATCCCACCCGAAGTATGACTTCTTCCCTTCTCCCAAACCCAAGCATTCGCTACCTACCTACTCACATTTCTCTAGCTAATTTCTCACTTCATCAAACTCTCCCAACGCACCCAAGAAAGTTCCAAAATCTGGTCGATCGTCCGCACACCCACCTCCCTGCCCCTCGGCAAACGCACCCGCACCACCATCCTCCCATTCCCCACCGGCTTCCTAAACGCCTCCCTCTCCACGCTCTCCGAATTCGTGACTTCGGCTCCGCAAACCGATGGGTATCATTTCAGCCGCAATACATTCGCGGTACTGGATGCGCGGAGTAGAGAAGATGAGACGGTGGTGTTGTGGAGTCGGTTGGACAGTATGCCGATGGAGGTAGTGGAGAGCGGGGGATGGGACGAGGGGAAGAAAACGACCGAGTGGAAGGATTATCGCGTCGAGTTTCGCAAGGCGTGTTGGGTGGTGGGGGTGTTGCAGACGAAACCGGGGTTGTTTGGGGAAATTGTGGAGAAGGGTCAGGGGACTAGTGTGGATGGGGAGGGGGTGCTCAAAGTGGATACCCCCATGAAGGAGTGCGATTTGGAGGAAGATGATGTTTCGACGGATGATGAAAGTTTGTAGAATAATGGATGTGCGATACGTTGTCAGTTTCCTCCTGCCTTGTTTTGATGGAGGTCCACGGGTCCCAAGGCTACGTCGAACCTACCTAGCCACTGTTGATCTAGCCACATCACGTGATGAATATGATGATTCTTGATTTTTCTATATCTTTTTCACATTGTGGTCATAGGTAAATAGTTATCGATTTGCTTGGCAGAACAGCTCGTTTTCATATATTTCATCAAAACCAAAACACCATCGTTTGCTCGCTAATGAAGCTCTGACTTTGGAGTAGTGACTCTGAGGGAGTATTTGGTAGCACAACCGGATATCAATAAACTTGAGAAATGACTCGCTTTTAAAGAATCCATATCCGATACTCCTTTTAAATGGCTGCTTTATAAGTCTATTGCTTCCCTTCTTTACAAGTCTAAAGCTTGAAATCTATATTTCAATGGCAAAGAGATAAGTTCGATCGTAGAACTTTGACCTGTTCGCTATCCGATTCCTCTTCTTGTTTTTTTGAATCTATCGAGTCACTTAAAGCTCAAGAATTAGAGCCTGATAGAAGCCTACTACTATGTTCTCTTATAAAATCTCATTACTCGAGCTGTTATGAATTTGTGAATAATGTATAGTGATTAGGGTTGGATTAGATTTTCTGACTCTAAAGCAGAGTATTGTATAGTCTGTATTGTGATCCGATAATAAAGATTCTTAAATTCCTAAACTGATTAGAACATTTAGATTATTCAAGACGTTGAACTTAGTTGGAAGATTTTCAATTTTTTAAATGCTTTTAGATATTGAAATCTTTGTATTGTTAAAGAATCGAGAATAGCAGTACGGTGTCATAAGTCGTGAGTGATTGAGATCGGTAGAATAGGTAAAGACAGATGAATTTCGAGCACGCCAAACGAATGTCAAATGTGCCAAAGATAAGCAGACTTCCTCTTTAGATCCCATCTGAATACATCCAAAAATAAACATTCCACAACATCTTATTCAAAAAAAATGTAAGATTCGGAAATCTCCTACGCTTTACCAAATCACAAATGACGTTCATCAAGCCATTCCTGAAGTCCATCAAAAATAGGCGCGAACAATTTGAGCTGTAGTTAAAGCAAACTCATTAGTATCATATTTCATTACTCCTCGACAACAAATAAACTTACAATAGCAACTAAATCCTTGAAATCTTGACACTCAGTGAGACCGTCTTCAATTGCTTTATCTATTACTGGCTTTGCCTTCTCTATCGCATCATATATGCGGATGAGCTTTCTGAGTTTCTCGACTGTTACGTGTAATGATTGATTAACTTTGTTCAATAATCTGGTAGGAGAAAGAAAGCTATAAGCTGAACTCACTTTGGTCTGGTGTGAGCTTGGGAGGGTCAGCACGTTTCCCCATGCGGTAACTGCCATAGCTTGGTATATCTGTAGGAACAGTGGTGGGTTCCGTCCAGGTGAAGGTTGGAGATACGCAGGTGCTTGACGATGAAGATGTGGTAGTTGTGGGATATACATAAGTAGTGGGTTCGGTTGTAGTTGGAAGTCCGCTAGTGGGTAGTATATAGGTCGTTTGTTCTGTGGAAGTTGACTTGCTCGTTGAATAAGAGGGATATGTGTAATAAGTAGGAGTTGTAGAGTGGTCAGTGGCTGCTATCTCCGTGCTAGCTGGATGGGCAGAGGAGATCAAGGTGGTTGGAGAGTAGTAGGTGATGGGAGTGAAAGTAGAGGTTACCACACTGCTAATACCCTCGTAGTAGAAGGTATCACAAAGGGTAATGCGGAAAAGCACCGCGAGGACAGCAGTGGAGAAGTGAGAATGCATTTTTGTTCAAGTGATCTACAGAAGAAATAGGTATTTGAGAGAGATGATATAAGTGCCTGTTGACAACAATGTCAAAATCGATGTTTACTAGAAATCCAAGATTCAAGTGGTTTATATAGATTGACTCTCCTATTCATCACTACCGTCACGACTTCACCGCTCCCAATTGTTTTAATTCATGCTGCAGCCGATGAGCCACCTGAGAATAGGCGTACACAATCCATCATGTCGTGACTTGATCACAAGTCAGTACTTTTATCTAACTGAACTCTTACCTTGAAATCATGAATTCCGATCCAACGATTCTGAAATCATCGTGTTTCCAAGAATTTTCTATGCAAAGTATCGGAGTCGTAACTCGAAGGCCGATAACACCAAGAGAGAAACTACGAGCGGGGAACCTACTACCGCTTCCGCCACCTCGGAACTACCCTTATGCCACAAGACAACAAATACATCCCTTACTTACATTAAGCCACCCCGCAGTCGCCATTACTCGCACTCGCTTGGTGGTCTTGAGGGATGTCTGAGACAGCCACCCAAGAGACGGAGAAGATCCGAAAGAAACAGACTAAGTCACTTCGAGCTCTCACCGAGAACAGCGAAATTTCAATGCCAGTTCAAGTCAATCCCGATAGATTTATTCATAAACTCATCACAGATCTTCGAGTAAAACATTTCGAACCCCCAGAATAAGTATCCGTCTCTCTCTCTCAAAAGAAAAAGAACATCTCTAGAACAACGAACTGTAGCAGAGAACAATCATGTAGAAGTGCTAGGCACTTGCCGTCAACATCTGGTATACCCCTGCTGGCATACCAATCAACATCACTTGCGGAAATCCAATACAAGCGACAACAAAAGAATGGCGCATCAGGCACCGATCGTAAAATTCGAGTAGCGGCAATTCCTAGCGGATGCCAAATCAATTTCCCCGAAGCAAGACATTATATTCCAAGCGTTCCAACGCAGTATGTGCTCTACTTGGCGAGAATTACTCAAACGGCATTTACCCATACATCCTTTGCACCGGGAAAACTAGGGCTGGCAATGTAAGTCTATGGTGTTCAAGCTTTTCACATAATATAGATGGCTCTACGGCGGGTCATGTTCATGAGGCAAGATTGATGATTCCCAGTTGTGAAAGGTACTCCTGAATTGTTCTTTCCACCAGTTTCCTGTCCTAGTATGTTTGAAGTAACTAATAATATATACCATATATTCATTATACACATGAACCGACCCTTTTTACTACGGCATCACTTTCTTTTCGTTGCTCCGCCTTTCTTAGAACTTCCTGTAGCTTTGCCAATTACTGCATCTGCCTTATTCTCGGCGATCTTGGCACCTTCAAGCCCCTCCTTGACGCTCGCATCAGCGCCTGGGATACTCTTCAAAGGTTGATTGGCAATCTTCTCCTCAACCTCTTCATCGTCACCTCCTTGTCCAAACTCATTGACTCTGGTGTAGTCAACCTTATACTTCCAGCTTTGATAAAGGTAAACGAAAAAGATGACATCATCTCTGAGTGTTGCCAAACGATGTAGTGTTGGCATCTTAATAGTGAATGCAAAGAGATCGTCGATGAATGTATTCAAGAACTTGTACATCATAGCTCTACCTGGCATATGTGCAACACTCTTGAGTCGGTAGTTGATGTACAACGAAGGGACCATCATCAAGAATCCGTATGCGTAGACAGATCCGACAAGAGTTGCGATTACGAAAGAATACCAAGATTTGTGACTTTCGTATTTCAAGGAGTATGCTCCATAGGCGATAAGAAGTGGAACAGCAATCATGTACATATACTTGAAAGCGACTGCATCGTACTCCTTGGTCTTTTCTTCCGTCTCGGAGAGGACATGTTTATCTTCAAAAGCAATGCGGTATGGTATGATCGAATTTGGTGCATCGCGAATACGAACATTGACCACCGTGGTGATCTTCCAGAACTCGAGTACAATCCCCATTCCCTGAGTGAACAAAATCATCCAACCTACATAATTGTGAGTACTTATATCTATAAACATGGGCTGAGATATGAACTTACTGGTGTTCTCATTGTTGTCCATCAAGTACAAGAAAATAACACCTTGCATGAAGACGTTTCCGAGGATCGATCGAACTGAAATTCCAACATTGTTCTTCTTGTTTCGGTAATGGCTGATGTCGGATTTGAAGGCCATCATCTCGAAGATCATGTGGAAAATACTAACGATGACCGTGGTGGCCAAAAGATATATATTGGTATCTAATAAAACTTCCTTGATCATCTCAAACTCACTACCGTCTCCGCCACCGGGTGGTGCTTGTCCTTGAGCAGCATTTCTGGCGGTCTGTTTCGCACCTTCGTCCATACTTGCCATCAACGTAAATTTCCAATTGGCAAAGTTCTGGAGGTCAATATGAATGGGAAGTCTGGTGACTGTTGAATTGAGTACTGTCATGTGAGTCTTCAATTGCCAAAAGGTGTTGACGAAGAGTAGTGGATAGTACCATCCATTGAGTCCGGTGCCATCTCTAGCTCCACTTGCCTCCAAATGAACATATTGACGAACAGCAGGATGTAAAGATGGAAAGTCCATGACGCCAGAATCTGGAATGAAGGACATGGTAAAGTTGGGATGATAGTGAGATTTGATTACAGGTCCAGTAGGAATTTCCTCTTCAGGCTAATCAATCATTAGTGGAATCTTTTGAAATTAACCAAACAAACTCACCTCATCGGTCTCTTCGGCAGCTGCCAAAAGATTTTTGGTCTTTCTTATTTTCTTTTGCGCAATGTATTGGGTGAGAGGATGCACAAAGTGAAATGCCCTTGTAGGATCATAGCCGGGGGTAGCAGGATCCAATTTACTTCCAGAAATTCCAATATAGAAGTGACCCCAAAGTGTACCATTATTCTGCACCTCAGATGGAACATCGAAGCTCGCATCAATCGATCTGTGTTGGTTGTAATCTCCAAATGCGAATCCAGTCTCATCCAGTACGATTCTCTCCTTTGGTACTTTTGCAATAGGTTCCGCTACAAAAGTGGGGGAAACAACAATAGTGATGTCGAGAGGACTATCCGTAGGCCACATCGGTGCAATTCTCTGAGGAATGGGACTCCATACTGCTCCTTCATCTAATTTGTCTGGTCGCGCAAGATATGGGGGGATTTCACCATTGTTTGCTGGGACATTCATAACCACTCCAGATGCATCAGTTGTAGCAGTAGTCGCAGGTCCTTTATTTCCAGTTATTTGCTTCATCAAGAATTGCATGCCAACGAAAATGGCGATGCCTTGCACAGCGGATTTGATCATAGGCTGTTCATGACATTGTCAGTAAATTTTATCGGGCAGCTCTAGGAGGGACTCACACCCATACCGCCTTCTTGGGCTTGCGCACCCGCAGCTGGAGGAGCTGTTCCGGCCGGCATATTGAAGATGATAAGACTTCTTCAATTATTTGTTGAGGTATAAGAGTCAACAGGTACGTTGTCTAGATGTAAATAATTATGGATAGCTTACGGCACAATAATAAGCTAAGGCGACGGAATAATTGTGGCGCCGATCACCGAGAAGCGACCCCGAATTATACGCTTAAGAACGTGACATGCTCGACATGATAGTACTTCAATATGCTCAGATTTGAGCCTTGAGATTTCACGGAAGATTATAAGATTGAGATTACACATTCTTGGAAGCGTTTTGACATTTGAAAATCTAGATGTATAACTCTCGATTATTGAGGAAATAGGTACCAAGCCGCTGGCTCAACAGATTTTGAGTTACGTAGTAAAATGAGATAGTCTCTTTAAGGCACGCAATCGTCCTTTGGAAAGACAAATTTGGGTAAACTCCAAGCAAAGAAACCCCAAACCCCTAGATACCCAATCCAATAATGCCATCTCGAATCATTGCTCCCTCCGTAGCGTCTCAGCACTCTCTTCCCCCATTTCTGAACAAGATCTTCAGCAATAATTGCACAAGGACATAGGGAATACCACTGAAATATGTGACTTAGTCCACAGTTCGGAAACTTCATTTTTGCTGGAATATATTTCATGGCGTGCATACATGCAGAGACGAAGAACACCAGATACAGCATGGCGATTTTGTTGAACCTAGAATTTTGGGGAATACGAAATAGCTTTGAGGATATCAATGATGCCCAAGCAATAAGATCTCGACGCAAGAATTGATGCCAGAAAACACTGGGAATGAAAACAAGTTTAGCAATGCATTCTCTATAGTCATATGAAAAGATCACGTACCCCCAATATCTTCGGATGGTATATGCTTCCGTCAATAATCCATAAACAGGATAGTTCCAGCCAGGTATAGCTTTGGCACCACCAATGAACACCGCAACTGCAGATATTAAATAATGGTGCGCAGAAATGCTAAGAATCTCAGGCAGAATCCACAATACAGGTAGTGATATTCTTATGCCTATCTCTCGTATAGTGACATGGCATATCCTCCGGAAGAATTGCTCTTTCTCCGGGCTATAATCACCAACCTGAAGATGAGTGTGATAATTTCTTTGAAGGTCATTGACTATTCCCCAGAGAAGATAGTGAAACCATGCCATGAGTGATCTGCTAATGACAAATACATTTGGATCCGTCAGGTGAGCGAATTTTGTTATTGGGAACAGCGACAGGTTTCTCGGCTGCGAAGTCGTTCCGATTTGTCTTGGGTTGAGATATGCATCCATGGCCCATTTCAGTCTCTGCTTGAATGTTGCGGCAGAAAAATGCGGCGACTCTAGTCTGAATAATCCATAGTTAATGGTACCTAGTATTTGGCCTGCAAGCACGTAACATGTGAAATTTGAATAGGAATCGACATTGGATTTTCCATAGTATAAAGCGGCGCAACCATAGATGGAGAAAATGAAAAATGGACATGCTCGCCACGAGAGTCGTGGGGGAGTATAGATCATCATCAGGCTGCCAAGAATATAAGACAATGCTAGCGATAAAATTGGGCAGTTAAAAATTGGATTGCCTGATTTTGATTAGCTATGTAACAGTGAGAACGATCAATATGCATGTCTAAACAAACCTTCAAGGTAAGTGTGTAAGTTTTGAAGAATTGAGAGATCCATAATTGCTGTCTCTTGCTGGGGCGGCAAAATCTCTCTTGGGAAAAAAAGGGTTCCTTTTAACGATTCAGGAAGTCTCGAGGGAAACACGATAGAATTGGAGGCGTGTATGCATAGAGAGAAGACAGAGGTAGGCACATCTCTCGTCTTCAATCGAGGGATGTAGCTTTCAAACGACACGCCATTCGAAGTGATTGAATCACATAAACTAATACATATAGTACAAATGACCTGACAGGAAGCATGTCAATTATGGTTGTCTACTATGCAGTGAATCATGATCATGAAAATAAACCGACCACTCATACGCTTCCCGCTGGCATCACTGGAGCAACCCTTGCCCCCCCTCCCCCCAAAAAGAAAAGCTACAACAGTCATAATTCAGTTCAGCAGAGCACGACGTTGGGCTGGGTATAAAAATAAAAACAAGATTTAAATCAGTAGTACCTGATAACGTACGAACTGGCAAAACCTTGCCGCCCCACAAGAGGGGCGGGAGGAGAAACCCCCGCGGGGTTTTTTTCCGAACCAGGCGATGTTACCACTCCACCACAAGAGCGCATTTGACCTGACCAAACAAGCCTGTTTGACGCCTTTGCGCTCTCGATGGAAATGTTTCCTTAAGACGCCTTATATAGTACCTAAGCCTATTTCTCCTCCATACGAAAATCCACTGATTCTTTTCAAATAATTGAACTGCAGCAAGCCCTCAATAGCAATCCAGGCTATTGCGATATTCAGAAATAAAGTGAAACGCAAATAAAGACAAAACAAGTGGAATCAATTGCAACGGCGTTTTTTTAATCGGGGCTATATTGAGTACAGAGGTTCGTCCAAATACCGCATGAACAGCTGAACTCGGGTACTCAATATTTTGACGATCGCTATCAACCGCTACCGCATTAACGAACCAGTCTTTTGAATGATATTTATATTCAGTTCTAGGTGAGCTCAAAGATCATCTTTGACAGACGAAGTGGTAGTAGCGATCTTCGGCCAGTCTCAACATGGTCCCACACTTGCGATGTCTTTGAGCTCGAATTGATGACGAAGACTCATACTATGAATGGAGGACCCTAGAATATAGGATATCAAGATCAGACATGACTAGCGTACATCATTTCATCGGCCTCTGAGTACTGTCATGGCAGGGTAGACGTCTGATTGGGGTTCGTTTGAGCATGAGAACTCACCAAGTGCTTCGGATTCAGTAGCTCATGGGGCATTCTCGATAACATTGAAACCGACAAGATCAAAATAGCCGTAATCATCTCGTGTGACCTCTTCTCCTTTACATCAACGATGATCAAGTTGGTCCGGACATGGAAATGAACAAGAACTGGGGCACAACCTTTGCGCTGGATCGACCTACCCGGACAGGGTACTGACCACAAGTAAAGTATATCAAAGTATATATGTTATCACCGAGTAAATCTTGGAAGGTCATTGGAATTGAAAAGCAAAACAATACCCGAGTAAGACTTCGGATGTTAGTAGTGCTTATCCGTATTTGTGAGGAACTATTAGCTAATTCATGCAGTGATGCGACTCGTGAAAGCAAACTAAACCCAACTCATGCAGTGGGATAACCGTTACACAAAAACCATACATACTACTCGTAGGTAAGCTTACATAGCTCATTACTTGAATCGACGAGGCAGAATTGCCCATTGACATTTGAGAGATGAATCTTCTCACGATTCTTGCAAAAATGGTTTCTATCATTTTATATCTTGACGTCGGTACATGCACACGTGGTTTACCACTAATCGCCGCTAATCAGCCCTAAGCATAGTTAGTTAGTATTTATATCTAGCCCCTGATACCCCACTCTTCCATATCATGTAAGCTAAACCTTATTTAATTGAATTCTGCCACCGCCCGGGGAAAATTACACCGCCAGATCTTTGTCCACCTTGAACACAATATCAAAAAAGCAACTTTTTTTTTCCCTTCTCTGTTTTGGAAAATCTCTACCTGGGAATCACAAGGGAAGTACGGAGGAAACCCTCTCAAATTACAAGGCAGGTGCAGACAAATTACGATGTTGATTCAGAAACCCTTAATACTCTTTATTGATGCATATGATTCATTCTCGAATAATATCATTTCTCTCCTTGAAACTTCACTCACCGCCTCAGTGCGAACGGTCAAAATCAATGATCCCATCCTATTAGCATCTGATGAAGCATTACACGAAGAATTGAGACACTATGTAGCGGTAGTATGCGGGCCGGGCCCTGGAAATCCGGAGACGGACAGTGATATCGGAATTATTAAGAAAATCTGGAGACTTGCCGATGAGGAGATGTTACCAGTATTGGGTATTTGCTTAGGATTTCAAAGATTGTGCTTGGAATTCGGTGGACAAATGAGGAGGCTAAATGGTCCACAACATGGAATGATTAGAAAGGTCCTACATGCAGGAGAGGCCCAAGCCGTCTCCGCCGTTGGAAATGATTCAATATTCTGTGGGGTTGGGGAGATTACCGCTACCTTGTATCAAAGTTTATGTATCGATATAGGCCAGGACGACATTCTAGATGAAGAATGGAACACATCACGATGGGAGCCAACAGAAAAATCTCCCGATTTGATACCATTGGCTTGGGTTGAAAGTGCCGATCTAGAGGCTGAACATGCGAGAAGTTGCGGTGTGAAAGACAGCAGAGTTTTGGTCGGTGTACGACATGCAACGAAACCCTTTTGGGCAATACAATATCATCCTGAGTCGGTCTGCACAAATGATACAAGCAAAGAAATCTTTATAAACTGGTTCAAGTCGGCACAAGATTGGAATAAAACTTTCAGAAAGACGGAGATAAATTACGACGGTACAATGCACGGCCAATCTGCTACACGAGTGAGCCTTCTCCAACAATTCGAAGCTTTACAAACAATGCCTGTATCTCCGACTAGCGATACCTCCACCGACAATATGAAGCCCAAAAATATGTGTATTTCTCGAACAATTGATCTACCAGAGAATCTATCTGTACCTAATATTGTGGAAGCCATCCAGGACATGGGTCGAGATCATATTCTACTGGAATCCACCAATGCAGACGAATCCTCCGCAGGATCTGCCGATGTGAAAGGACGATATAGTATCATAGGCCTGGACATCGATGATTGTTTGAGATTCGAATATCGTGTCGGGGACGGATACATAACCAAGATCCCCTCTTCATCCGGCGAATATCTCGATACTAAAGAGGAGATTGATTTAAAGTCTTGTGGCGGAGTTTGGTCTTTGTTAGCACATCGATTAGAGGTTGCGCGTGTTGCTGCAGGCAATGATGAATCGCCTTTCTGGGGAGGGTTTATGGGATATACGACATACGAGCTTGGTCTGGAAACTATTGATGTGAAAGTTGATAGACCAGATGCTCATAGCAACCGACCGGATCTCTGCTTTGCATGGGTCACTCGAAGTATAGTGGTCGACCACGTGAAGAAGGTTCTCTACCTTCAGCAATTGGCCAGCCTTGGTGATAGCCAAAGCGACACTGCATGGATGGAAGCGGTTGGCCCCAAGCTTGAAAAAGCAGCCCAACCGAAATCTCCAAAAAGCACTCGCCAAATCCCCCTCCGACCAGGTGATCTCGTCTTATCTTGCGATCGCATAAAGGTTTCTCGTCGAGAAAAACGAGCTTGGTCACCAGTTCGTACCCCCGCTTCGAAGTTTTCCATGGCTATCACTCAACCTACAGCCGATTCATATGAAGCAAAGGTCCGTCGATGCCAAGATAAAATTGCCAGTGGTGACTCCTACGAGTTATGCCTCACCGACCAAACCACCATCACCCGTCTTCGCAGCGATCCTCCTCATACATCAGTCCACAACACTACTGAGTCAATCCTTCTTTACAACAAAACTCCAAGACCAGCTCCAGCTAAAGGCGCCTGGTCCTTGTACAAAAATCTTCGCACACGTCAACCCGCCCCCTTCGCTTCTTTTCTTCGCCTTGGCGCTGCGACTTTAGTTTCTAGTTCTCCAGAACAATTTCTTAAGTGGGACAATCGCATTGGAAAATGTTCTCTTCGACCTATGAAAGGCACCGTTCGTAAAACTGACGAAGTAACACTTTCAGACGCCACCGCACTCCTTAATGATCCAAAAGAAAAGGCTGAGAACCTCATGATTGTTGATCTCGTTCGTCATGATTTACATGGCGTCTGTGGGTCTGGCAACGTTTCTGTTCCACGATTGATGGTGGTTGAGGAATATGCATCAGTTTTCCAGATGATTTCTGTTGTCGAAGGTTCTTATACCAAATCCGGATCCGATGATATCGAGACACATATGTCATCACTTACCATCAAGGACGACAAGAGAATAGCATACACTGGACTCGATATTTTAGCAGCCTCTCTCCCACCTGGATCTATGACTGGCGCACCAAAGAAACGTAGCTGTGAACTCTTGCAAGATATCGAACACCACAAACCTCGTTCTCTATACTCTGGTGTTGTAGGATACATGGATGTTGGCGGCCGCGGCGACTTCAGCGTTACTATCCGATCAATGTACCGTTGGGACGATGAAGATGGCGTCATTGAAGCCGAAGAAAAGGATACAGAGAAATGGCACATTGGTGCGGGCGGAGCTGTTACGGCTCTTAGTACCCCCATTGGCGAGAGAGATGAGATGTTAACAAAGCTTAATGGAACACTTGGAGTGTTTCGTTGAATGAGATAGAGATTTTCTTCATACGACGCGAGTCGGTTGGTTTATGCATAATGAAGGAAGATTTTCCGGAGTTATTCATGGGGCTATTCACTTTTCTTCTTGATTTCTTGGGATATTTTCAGACACAAATTTATGGTAAAGTCCCCAGTTCGAGATACCTCAACGTATCGTATCTATCATATAGAGAGCGGGGCATTGACGACTTATGACCTTGGGATGGCGCTTTCATGTATTGGATATGGATTGGATAGGAACAGAGAATGGGACATGGAGTACAGAAAATCTCAACGAAGACATATTTCTTTTTATA